GTGGGAAAAAACCCTCCATAAGAGATCTCAAGGTTTTTGGTTGTTTGGCATATGTACATGTGCGAGATCATTTGAGAAAGAAGTTGGATAATAAAAGTGAGAAGTGCATATTCATTGGATATAGTGACGCTTCAAATGCTTATAAACTATACAATCTTGAAACTAAAAAGGTTGTTATAAGCCGTGGTGTCACTTTCGATGAATATGGTGCCTGGGATTGGTCAGCTAAAGATGAAAGGTCAGTTGTTATTCCTGTTGTTGAGAATATTGTTGATGAGCAACTGATTCCAAATAATGTCCAATCTACTACACAACCAGAGCCATCAGTTTGACGATCTCAACGCGAGTGCCACTTACCAGCTCGCTTGCAGGATTATGTTTTGGGTCATGATAATGACTTGTCTGATGAAGAGATTGTTCAATTTCCTCTTTTTTGCAGATTGTGACCCTCTATCCTTTGAGGAGGCTGCTACAGAAACTCATTGGCTTAAGGCGGTGGATGAGGAGATACGTGCCATTGAAAAGAATGGTACCTGGGAGTTAACAGATTTACCTCTTAGAAAGAAGCCAATTAGAGTAAAGTAGGTTTACAGAACAAAATACAAGTCAAATGGAGAAATTGACCGTTTTAAGGCATGGTTGGTAGTAAAGGGTTACAAGCAGAAACCAGGTATTGATTATTTTGAGGTTTTTGCTCTTGTAAGTAGACTTGATACAGTTCAAATGGTTATTTCTCTTGCTACTCAAAATGATTGGAAATTGCATCAAATGAATGTGAAGTCTGTCTTTTTGAATGGTTTTCTTGAAGAAGAAATATATGTTGAGCAACCTGCAGGGTTTGTGAAGAATGGGGCGGAACATAAAGTGTACAGGTTGAGAAAAGCCTTATATGGCTTAAAGCAGGCGCCTAGGGCGTGGTATAGTTGCATTGACACTTATTTTGATTAAAGTGGTTTTATGAAATATCCTTATGAACATACACTGATTCTGGTGATATTGTTATAATCTGTCTCTATGTTGATAATCTGGTTTTTACTGGAAAGAACTTGAAGTTAATCTCAGAATTCAAGGAGACACTCATTAAGAGTTTTGAAATGACTGATATGAGATGTCTTACTTTCTTAGCCTTGAGGTTGTTCAGATGGATGGTGGAATCTTTATTTCACAAAAGAAGTATGCTGCTGATATCTTGAAAAAGTTCAAAATGAAAAACTCCAAACCAGTTTCAACTCCGTTAGCTGAAAAGTTAAAGGTGTCCAAAGATGAGTGTGGTAAGAATGTGAATGTTACAGCTTATAAAAACTTAATTGGGAGTTTAAGGTGTCTGGTGGCAACAAGGCCGGATATTTCTTTTGGAGTTGAATACTTTAGCAGATATATGGAGGAACCAAAAGAATCACATTGGGCTGCAGCAAAGCGAATTTTGAGATATGTTAAAGGTACGAGTAATGATGAAATTTTTTACATCAGGATAGAGACAATGATTGGGCTGGAGATGTTGAGACCAAAAAAAGCACATCAGGATATGCCTTCTATCTTGGTTCGGCCATATTTTCTTGGTCTTCTAAGAATCAGCAGATTGTAGCACTTTCAACTGCAGAAGCAGAATATATTGCAGCAGCAAATTGTGCTACTCAAGCAGTTTGGCTGAGAAGAATTTTGGAGTTTTTACAACACAAGCAGGAAGCACCCACAACTATTTTCTGTGACAACAAGTCTGTAATTTCGTCGTCCAAGAACCTGTCTTTCATGGACACAGCAAACACATTGATATCAAGTATCACAAAATCAGAGAGTTGGTTGCTGAAAAACAAATCAACATTGAGTATTGTTCAAGCGAATGTCAAGTTTCAGATATTTTTACGAAGCCATTGAAGACGGAGACATTCCTTAAATTGAAGAAAGAAATTGGGATGACCAATATATATATCCAATTTAGTTTAAAGGAGACAATCTTATAATAATAATAATAATATTATTATTATTATGTTAAACCAAGTGAATTAAAATAAATGGGCAATAAACATACGTGAGTACGTGGATTATTAGCATTAGCTTTGGACGTGGGCAGCATGGCAGTACGTGAGTGTGTGGCAATTAACAGAACATGGAGCATTAGTGATTATTGCCTAAATTTTAGCTAGCTTTGTTAGTTTATCTTTTAGTATAAATAGGTTATGTTGTAAAGTTTTTTTCATCATCAAGAAGCAAAATAAATTCTCTTATTCCTCTCTCTTTCCCCTCTCAAATTATATACATAGATATATTATATTAAATTAAATATATCTTACAATGTTTGACCATATATTCCATCAATTTTCATTGTAAACGTTTTGATTAATAAATTAGCTTCTTCTTTTTTTAAAGTGACATTGTATTTATAAGATCAACAATATCACAGTCATGAAAGGAGTTAAGAGTTAAGACATCAGAATGCCCTCCTATTTTGACTTTATTTTCATAAAATCAAAGTATAAAATTTGAAAAACAAAAGAAAAGAAAAAGAAAAAAGAGAGCAACAGACACTGTATGTGTAGTTGTTCAAGCAGGTCAACCTCACTCTGTACAGCATATGATCCTGCTAGTTGACCTTTTCACAACTATAGCAGTGAAACTTGAAACCAATTAAACATTCTCTCATATAGCAAGTAGTTTAACTTTCAACATTACTAGTTTTAACATTTGTTACCAACATTATCTCTATAAATTGGCCCAACCACTAAGCCAAAGATGCATCACACCCAAGTTCCCTCTTACAAAACTGTCCATATATCCCCCCTTGAGAGATCATCAGATCAATTGCTACCAGAAATGAAGGCCTTTAACCTCATGATACTGCCAATTCTGTTGCTTCTCTTGGCAGAAGCACAATTTTCATCAGCTACATGCGATGTGCAGCGGCTGAGCCCTTGTCTAAGTGCATTAACGTTCGACACCAAACCATCACAATTCTGCTGCCAGAGGCTTAATCAACAGAAGCCTTGCTTCTGCGAATACGTCAAGAATCCCAGTTTGAAGGAGTATGTCATCGACTCCCCAGCTGCCAAGAAAGCTATTGAAACCTGCAAGGTTTCACTTCCCAAGTGCTGAGAAAACCACCATTATTCGATCCGTGTTATCTATCATTCTATCATATGTGTGCATTAAATTATTACAAAGAATAAACACCTTTCTCTTTCTCTTGTGTGTGTGTTTACCTATATGTCTAGCTTGAATGTTAAAATCATAGCCAGAGCTTGGTTATGATCTTTGTACCAGTTACATGAAGATATTCTATTACCCTTTATCATTCCTCTATCTTTTATATATATATATATATATATATATATATATATATATATATATATATATATATATATATATATTGAAGGGCTCTATCTTATACTCCCTCTGTCCCATTTTATGTGTCTTACTTTCCTTTTTAGTCTGTCCCAAAATGTTGTCCACTTTCCAAAATTGAACATCACCATCATTCTACTTTTTTCAAATTACCCTTCTAGCTTTTGCTTTCTTTATTGTTTTTATTTCCAAAAGTGAAAAAGTGAGGGGCATAATTGGAAAGTGCATAACATTTACTTTAATTCATTAAAAAGCGTGCAAAAAGTAAATGAGACATCCAATTCGGGACGGAGGGAGTATTTATTATTGAGATATATGATTACTTTTGATCTTCCACTATAACACATTATCATTTTTAGTTTTTTTTTTTAGTTATTTGACTTTTACAAATTGATCAAATTTTGTGGTGTGTGTTCATGGGTTTACACAATAGGAATGAGAATTAAAATCATAGTTAGTGTTTGGTTTGCAACTTTTTAAAACACAACAATGAGATTTTTTTTTTTGAATGCCACAACAATGAGATTTAATTACCTCTCCAATTAAAAACTCTATTTCCTAATTAAAAATCAGTATCATTCCATTTTATTGGTAATCTGATTTTTTAAGTTAGGATTACTGCTTTTAGATTTTTGCTTTGATTTTTTTTTTGTTCATATTGATGCTTTAGATGTCATTATATTAGGGTCAATTGCCTTGGTATTTTATTTTTGTATTTTTTAAAATCTTTATTCCATTATAGAGTCATAGATAACTAAACATCAATATTGATAATCATTCTAATTCCACCCTACTACAAAACATGAAAATACTTTTACCAAAATTCATTATCATTACCAACTATTTGATTCTCATTCCGATTTCGATTCCAGAACCAAACACACCCTAGTATTTTCCTTACAAATAATAGCGAGAGCGAACTTGAAATCATCTTTGTACTAGTTGTCATTTTTCTATACAAAAGGGATTATATTAGCCTTTATCCTTGAGATAGTCCCTTTTAATTCTTTAACTAAAGCAACAATTTTCATTTTTTGTTACCAACTTTAACAAATTGACAAAATTTGGCACAAACTGTTTGAAATGTCTAACTTTCACTAAACATCATCTTTCTTCATATGATGACATTTTCGGACTGGATTTGGTTAAACTTTGAAAAGTTGAAGGGCAAAAGTGGTCAAACTATTACTTTAGGATTAAAAGCAAAAAATGCTACTATATTCTATGATCCAAAAGTAGTATTAAATCTTTATCATATCATTTCTCTATCCCTTCACATGAACTTTCACTAAACATCATCTTTCTTCATATGATGACATTTTCGGACTGGATTTGGTTAAACTTTGAAAAGTTGAAGGGCAAAAGTGGTCAAACTATTACTTTAGGATTAAAAGCAAAAAATGCTACTATATTCTATGATCCAAAAGTAGTATTAAATCTTTATCATATCATTTCTCTATCCCTTCACATGAAGGCATGCATTTCGATCAGATATTTGAACCAAATTTGGTTGATTTGACAAAGTTGAGGTACTAAAAGTGGTCAAATTAATAATCAAAAATTAAATGTGAAAATGCTAGTAAAGAGTCCAAAAGTAGTATTAACTCTTATCATTTCTCTATCCCTTTATATGGTGTGATCCAGAGCAAAAACAAGGGAGCTAACAACAACATGCAGAACCAAAAAAAAAAAAAATTAAAAAAAAAAAAGCATTGGCATAATTTTGATCCAGAGCCTTGTTCAGGAGAAAACAGTGAGCCTTGTTCAGGAGAAAACAGTGAGCATGACATTATGCCCCAAATCCCAATTCAAACACAGTATAAACGGGAGGACAGCAAAAATAAATTTATACACTGAAAGAACATGACAACATAATTTACTTACAGAAAGAATTGTTATACTTTCTTATAGATGAAGAAGGTCTGAAATTTGGTTCCAGCCCATAAACCAAGGTCGCTTATCTGATGGAAGGTTAAAATTGAGCTCGAACATTTCCCTCGACATATTTCCACTCTCGGAGAAACCTACAAGCCTTGCCACAATCTCTGCACTCTCTTGTATGTGTTTCATGTCATGCGGATTTGTCCAAAGTTTGTTTATGAACTGCAGCTTCCTTTGCTTGGCCTCTAATGGAACATCCCATTTCATGTATAATGCATCTCTTTCCTCAACGGTCAAACGGGTGGTCAATCTTTTTGCAAGAAACTCCCTTTCCCTCCTTAGCGCTTTCATACTGAGTTGCAATATAGAGGTACAAAGGTCCAGAATGTTAGCCCCTCAGGCCTCAGGGTATACATGTATATATACATCTTATGTGTATGTGTGCTTTTGTGTGTGTATGTGTGCTTGTGTGTATTCTAAATGCATTTTGTTGCAAGTAAAAGAAGATAACGAGAAAGAAATAGAGTAGTTAATCAAGGTAGACAAGAACTAAACCTTGATGATATGGAAATGGTTGGCTCATTTCCTACATTAGCTGCTGGGGTTGCATTTCCAAGCTCAGCTAGGTGCTGCTGTAACCAAGTCAAGCGTCTAAGTTCAACTTCCATGTATATCTGGTCAGCAGGGTCTCCCTTGAATAATAGATAGAACTGTGATCTATGAATAATGGAGACATAGCAAACATCCCACAGGTCAATGATCTGTTGTCGTTGCTCCCTAAATATTATGTGCCATGAAGCTGGAGACTCCTCCACTATCTCAGGAATATCATCATTCTCCAAACTGTATCCAGCTGCTTCATTTGCTTCAAGCTCAAGCACCTAAAGGAAAAAATTACATCAACAGATCAAATTCTGAATCTTGCAAACAGGAATAGAACAAAAAATGAAGCTTCTCTGTTATCAAAGCACATAAAATTTAAGTTGCAGGTCAATTTATGAAGCTTAGAAGATATAGTTGAAACAAGAAGTCACAATTTACCTGGCAGACAAGTAGTTTCTTTTGGTATTGCAGCTTGGCAACACGTTCTTTAAGTTCTGTCACATATGCTCTTATGCTTCTAACATTCTCTTCTGCTGCTTCTTGGAACATCTTCTGCATTTTTCTCATGTTGACTGAACCAGAACGTCGATCAGGAGTACCTTCTTTTGATGACAGCCCACCTTCACTTTTTGTAGGAGTCTCTTTCTCAAGCACTTGTTGAGTTTCTAGTGACACAGCATCATCATATTCTGGAGCTCTATTTTCAATTTCAGAGTTCATTACTTGGCAAGTAGATGATAAAGGTGAACATGGAGATCTGATGAAATTTTGCATGTTAATGCTGTTGTTAGATGCTAATGGAAGTAATTTCTTCTTCTTCGATGGATTTTTAGACTTCGTAGTTACATCATTTGAATCTGGGTCATTGCCACTTGGAAGAGACATTACTAATTTGTCTATAGACTTCTGAACATTTTCCAGTTGCTCTTCAAGATCAGCGATTGTGCTACCTTGAGAATGAAGTCTGGCAATCTCTTCCTTGAGGTTTGCACTGACACTCTTATTGACAGCAACTTCAACTTCAACTTCTACTTCTTTTGGAACAGGCCGGACTGCACACATTTCCCTAATCTCTGCTTGGAGCTTAGCAATAGTCTCTGCAGCATCTTGGTTACCTTGTCTATAACAAGTTACCTCTTTCTGCAGTACTTCTAGTGCCCGATATGCTTCATCTCCAAGTTGTTCCTGAAGATGTTCAAGTTTCTTAATTTCATGCATGAGTGTGAAAGGAGCAGCTAATGATTGCCTCATCGACTGCCTCCCCATTGTATTTCTTGTTCTTTCACAACGAACTCGTCCCTTTCCTTCAAGGTTTGGTGATGTGGCAGAGAAAGAGAGACACTTCTTTGGAACTGGACTAGTTGGCTCAAATGGTTTAAATCCCTAAAATTTGAATTCTATGTCAAGCAAAGAAAACTGATAAAGTAACTACATTTTGTTGTATAGAGTAGAGAGAAAGAAAGAGGAACCTGTTCCTCCTGCAGCTTCCTGCGTAACTCATCCGCTTGGGACTGTGCAAGATCTCTTTGACGCCTCAACTCTTCAATTTCCATCTCCATCTAACAAACAAGAGGCCCGGTCAAATTAGTATTAGATTTGTAGTAAACAAAGCAAAAACTTTGTTGCACTTGTATGTCAAACAACCTGCCGAATTTTCAAATCTTTCTCATTCGAAATATCTGGTGTGCGCAGCTCAGCTTCGAGTCTGGCCACCTCCTTCTGCAAATGCTTAACAAGCTGTTTGTCGGAAACAACCTGATGAAATATTTAAACAAGAAAAGAATGGCTTAAAAGATGCATGACGTACAAAAGAAGATAGCCTGAGAACCTTCTATAGTTCTACCAAATATGCAATTAATAAGATACTGAAAATACCATGTTAACTTGAGCATTGTTTGTGACTTCCTTTGCACGAGTAGCAAATAGGAGAGTATTACGGGATTGTTCAATATGACTAGAAGCTGGACTCAAAGTGCATATGATGGCAGTACGAGCATTTCCACCTAGGGAATGCTGCAGTATGCGTGTCAGCTTTGAATCTCGGTAGGGTATATGACCGGTTCTTTTGCCCACACTGAAGATGAAACAAGAAAAAAAAACGAGTTAGTTCAAGTGTCTGATGCAATAATAGAACATGATAACATCATGGACCAAATCCCAAAATGTTCAGCTATATACAGAATATGGTCAATGAACGAGGAAACAAAAAGAAAGTTATAAAAAGAAAAGGTAGAAATCAAGTATCGTATCATTGTATATTTTATTTCTATCTAAAAGGATGTTACAGTCAGAGATACCTGAGCTTTCTTATTACAGTTGTAAGAGTCATCAAACTGAGGTTAATATGGCAGCCTTCCCGGAGCCTAGCACCATCAGCATTTGTCTGTGAGGCTCTTTCACTTCCAGCTAAATCTACAAAGTTCTACAATTGTAGACAGTGAAAATGTGAATGAACTGATCTTCAAGCATTACTGCATAAAACAAAGTTAAAGAAAGTCCACTTACCAAGCTTGCAACATAAGACCTGACACAACCTGAACTTTCACGAAGGATACTTTCTATTGTCTGCAATTTCACCCAACATAATGGATTCAGTTAAAATGTTGCTTGGTAGCATTAGTACAACGTGGACAGAATAATGTGGCAAGCAAGTGGTGGTGGTTTTGGGGGGCAATAGTCACACTTACCAGTCTTATTATCTGGTGAGACCGTGAGCTAGTATCATTAAGGGCAGTTTCACCAACTTGTCTTTGAGCTGCAGGGCATATAAGAATAGTCACCATGAAAGAAGGCTTCAATTAAATTTATTATTAATGATAGCAGAAAGGCCTGGGTATTTTCTACTAGTTTTAAATTCTTACCCTCACAAATACTAATCAACTGTCTGAGATGTTGATCATTAGCAGCTGTTTCTTCAACCAACTTTTCAACCATAGTTCCTTTCTACATTCAAATACAATTGGATAAGTCAATATGCCAAGGGATAAGAAAATGAAAATGTCAAGTATTATGGTTTAAACTGTACCTCAGGATCATCTAGAAGCTTGAGATTACGGCCAGATTCTGAATTCAATAGGTCCCTGACGTTTTCATTGTAGATTTCTAGTCCAGATATCCTTATTCTAAATTCTCTTTCTGGTGTCTATCATAATAATGTAAAGATAAAGTAAAATTAATCAAAATTGTTCAACAATGATGACATACTGGGAATAAAGAGAGTAGCAAGTATAAAATATTGATTCTTCTTTCTTTTTTCTTCTTCCTTTTCTTCTTCGTTTTTTTTTTTTTTTTTTTTTTTTGGCTTTTGAAAAATGATACTAACAACAAAACACCAAGTAAACTTTGTCTGCCACCAAATTATGTTCATAAAAGTTGATAATTAAGTTTCTAAGTTGCCAAGGTCCTCAAATATTGTCAAGTAATTTTAGAGAATAGTAAAAAAAATCACCTACTGGAAATGCTTACATTTGCTATATGGGAATAGATGTCATTAACAGCTTTCTCTGTAATTCCTCTCATAGTGAAAGTCTTCCCACTGCTTGTTTGCCCATAAGCAAAAATGGTTGCTGCAATTAAAAATAAATTGGCCAAATCAAATAAAGCATTTCAATAGACAGAGAAATAAATATTCCAACACACTATTTCAACACAATATTACCATTGATCCCCATTAAAGCCGATAAAGCCACATTCTTTACTCCTTCCTCGTATACTGTTTCAGTGAAGCTATTGGGACCAAACACTTTATCTGAAAAAGTTCAACATTACTCACTCATTTTCTGGTTATCTGACTAAAACACTATAAACACTCTGAATGCATAAATATCATGATTAACATTGAGCCATTTCATTACCAAACGTAAATGATGAGGTTGGTTGCGGAGAACGTTCTTGGGGTGTTGGTTTATACACAATTGTATGATCATCAATGCATTCCCATGCTACATTGTCCTTGGCTGATTGCTCCCTTTTGTTCAATGGTCTTAACCGTACTGTAACAACAATTTTCTCTTCTCTTGCTCTGTGCCCACCTGGAGTACTAGCTGGTGTCCTTTCTAACTTTGAAGCTGGTGTACCGGGAGTTTTAGCTGTCATGCTGACTGTATATATTTAAGCACTTCTCGATCAATAAACCTTTGAGCAGAGGTGCCTCAATCAACAGAAAGTACACCTATCCAAGAGAAGCTGAACTTATACAGAATACTATCCTATAGCAATAATTTATCTGCAGAAATGAATTTTTTTCTAAGAGAATGTATAAATCATAACATATAGAATAAGCAAAAGTCACAATCATTAAAATTTTAAAATTGAAAAAATCAGCTACAAATTTGATGTTTTAACAGCAGCATCTTAACATTTTAGTCTTTAGAGTAAAACTTCCTGACCTCAACTCAAAAAATGCTAAAAGAAATTATGCTACCGCTTTTCAGTAAAAAAAAAAATCCAATAAATTCTAGTTATCAAGGAGTTCTATTCCATTGTCTGATAAAAGAAATTACTTTTAGGAAAAAAAAAAAAAAAAAGGCTTTTGTTTACTTAAAAGCAAATAAAATTTCCAACTCTTGCCGGATACCTTCATTCAATTTATTATGTGTATAACGAACTATGCATATCCACATTAAAAAAAAAAAAAAAAAAAAAAAAAAGATGTCTCGAAGAAGGGATATGAATGCCATATACTATGATCTAGCTGGGAGAACCTTAGATTAACTATGACTCCATACGTCCATAAGATTTTTACATCAAAGCTTCTGAATTCACCAAACAAATATCATTCAGTTTGTGTTTATCACTACAATCTCGTTTGAATATGGCATCTAAACCCTTAACGTTAACCATCGATTAGAAATTTAGGAACGCCATATGCAAATGCAAGAAAATCAGCATAAGTTTGAGGAGCGCATTAGTTCGCCATAAGTTTATCGTATTTAAAAGGAAATTCTGTTAACTAAACGTTCACAGCAAAAAAGGAAAGTTTCAGCTGAAATTGGAGGGACGAAAACATATCAAAAATGCTTCAGATCATCTAAAATTTACCTGAGAAATCAAGGCCGATTGAGTCGCAGTGTGATTGAGAGAGAGAGCGCAGGCGAAGAGAGAGCGGAAATGGAAAGCTATAATGAGATGCGCGATACAGCGTGAGAGTGACAGTGAGAATTCGGGATTTTGAATTTCGAGTCACTAACGGCTAGTTCTTTTGTCTAGTGGGTCCTACGGGTCATTTTATCGGGTTCCAAATGGATTGTCTGGAAATTTCGGGAATATATCGCTGGCTTTAGTGATGTAGTGCTGTCGCTCTCGATTTCTAACGGTTCGTGTCTTAAAATATAAATTTTGTGTCGACGAAAGTGACGAAAGCAAAAGATGTGATTTACTTACATGCCCTAAAGTTTTGTTGAATGACTCACAGCACCAAAAAGTCAAAAACACAAATTCAAATAGATCAACCCCATGATGAAACAATTTTGAACCTTTGAGACTTGATCCCCTAACTTTCTTTATTTATGAAAAATATTACTCTGTATTTTACATTTAAGGCAATTTCAATGGAAATTTTTTAAAGAGGTTTTTAGCTGATTCTTTTTTTTTTTTGAAAGCAAACGGCAAAATATATTAATTATTATCAAAGTCCAAAGCAGGAACAACAAAAACAAACGGGACTCCAAAACAGTCCACACAGTCAGACTTGGACAAGGCTTTCCGAGCTAACAGATGGACAACCTTGTTCGCAGACCGTTTAGCAAACAAAAAGCATAAGTTGGTAAAAGCTTTAGCTAATTCTCTAACATCATTTAAAATAAGGTCAAACGAAGTTTGCAGCTTCTGAGTATGAATCGATGAGATAATCTTGCTGCAATCTGTCTCAATTTGCACAGAATCCATGTTGATCTCCTTAAGCCATTTAAGAGCTTCCCTCACCCCTATTGCTTCAGCCTCGTCCGGTTTATGCACACCATCTATCCCAGGGAATCTGTTTAGCGGCTAAGAACTGGCCTTCATCATTTCGCAACACAAAGCCGAACCCCATCTTCTTGTTGTTGACATCTAGAGTTGCGTCAACGTTGAGCTTCTTCCAATCTTCTGGTGACTTCTTCCATCTTTCCTCCCTTCCTGGACTACTATTCTGTTGCAAGATCCTAGCATTAACCGCTTGCCATTCATAGAGGTAAACTGTAGCATTACTGACAACTGCATCAGTGGGGATGATCACATGGTTCCATATCTTTTCATTCCTTGCCTCCCAGATTTTCCAACAGATAGCTATTAGTTAGCATAGCGCATTTTCATCCAGATTTTTGAAATTCCATTCCAGCCATCCTAGGAAATCATAATCATCAAGATATGAGTTGTTTCCAATAGCATTCCAACATCCTCTGGCCAACTGACATCTAAGAAATAGATGATGCATAGATTCCCCTTCTTCACTACAGAGCTGGCAAAAGTCAGGCACACGCACTTTCTTAATCCTCAAGCGATCATGAGTTGGAAGAGATCCTGGACACACCTGCCAAAGAAAAGATTTGATCTTCGGAGGTAGTCTCAACTTCCAAACTTTTGTCCAGAAAAGATTACTAACAGTATGCATTTGGTTCATGAGTTTCCTGTAACAGCTTTTAACCGTGTAGTCCCCTTTTCCATCATCCACCCAAATGATCTTGTCAGCACAACTAACCTCTGCAATGGGTATGGTTTTAATCTGGTCCACTTCTTGTTGACTGAAAAGATTGATCAGCAGATTCTCCTCCCACCCTGTTCTAGTCTGATTGAGCAAATCTTTCAATGTTGTCACCATGTTTTGATCTGCCATAGAAGGTTGAATGTAAGGAAAAGAAATGTTAGGCAACCAAGGGTCCTCCCATACTCTTATAGTAGCCCCATCCCCAACTCTCCACCTAGTGCCTCTTCTAATAACATCTTGGGCTTCAAGGATACTACGCCAAATGAAAGAGGGGTTTCCTCCAATCCGAGCTTCAAGGAAAGATTGCCTAGGGAAATATTTAGCCTTATAGACTCTAGCCAAAAGGGAGTTAGGAAATTGGATTAATCTCCAAGCTTGTTTACCCAATAAAGCCACATTAAACTCTCGAATTCTTCTAAAGCCCATACCACCACTAGCTTTAGGGACACACAAATCTTCCCATCTTTTCCACCTTATGCCATTGCTCCTTTCACCCTCACAATCCCACAAAAAACTATTCATAACTCTCTCAATCTCCCTACCCATATCAAGGGGGATTAAGAACACACTCATAGCATATAGGTAGGAATAGCTTGAATTACATTTTTAAGGAGCACCTCTCTTCCCGCCCGGGATAAGAACTTGTGAGTCCAACTCCTAATTCTACCCACCACCTTCTCCTTAATAATGCCAAGGATATCTCTTTTATTTCTACCAATTAAAGAGGCCAGGCCCAGATAGTTCCCACTCATATTCCTCTCCCTCATGTGAAGAATATCACAAACAACCATTCTATTATCCCCCAGAACATTCTTACTAAAAGTAACAGTGGATTTAGAGAAATTTACAGCCTGGGAGAATTTTTCACCGGAAGTTTGAGTTTTTAAGAGAGAGAGAGAAACTAAATTTATTTGTAAGAATTCAATTTTAGAGAAAAAAAAAAAAAGTGAGTCCAAGCACGTTGGACGAATGAGAATAGTTGTCAACTGGCGACCACTTCTTTATTTTTTTTTCTTTTTTCTATTTTGGCTAGAGCAACAGTTAATTGTTCTTATCTATATTTTATTTTTTATTTTTATAATTAAAAATAAAGAATATATTTATATATTAAAATTTACATTTTTTAATTAAATTTATAATACTTTTATATTCGAAAGTTTTAATTAGACTACAAAATTTTAATAATTATTAAAAATAATAAATTAAAGAATGATAAATTATCGTGGATGTGGAGTGGGCCTGCAAAAATTGAGATTTGAACTATTGAGAAGAATTAACTTTAGGGGTTAAAAAAAACTTTAATTTTTTTTTTGAGAAAGTGGATAATGATGTGAAATGTTGGGTCGTACTAGGGTAAACAGCCCATGCAAGATGAGGACACCGATAAGAATTAGAAGCATAAGCCGGTAATCAATATGATAGTGGGTGGTCATGAAGGTGGCGATTCGGCGAGAGCCCGAAAGGCTCGGGCCTGACAATTGTACGTTGGGGCGATAGCCTTCCAGGAGTCGGATCGGAAGAAAGCATGCAGGGAGTCGATCATCTTCATGGAACCTATGGGATTAACGGGCCGGATTAATGAGAGTCAAACTCAACCGTGGGTTCCAAGATTGCCAACACCAACTCGGTGTACTAACATGCCACTCTCATGATCTAATGTTAGGTCGAATCAAAACACAGGGTTGTCCTTGTTGTGGGCACGAGAATCAACAATTGGTTGTTATAATATTAGGATATTTTAGAATTAGTTTTATTATTTAATTAGGATGATTATCTTAAATTATTCAAGATTTAATCATCCTAATTAAATAATAAAACTAATTCTAAAATATTCTAATATTATAACGACCAATTGTTGATTCCTGTGCCCACAACAGTCCCACTCTCGTGACGCTACCAATCCCCTCAATAAGCACAAACAATCTTGACCTTCAACGTTCCCTACTCTCGTAAGTGAACCTGAAGGTCATGAGATGTGGTCTAAGATAAGTTGGCAGTTGAGAGACGAGTCTAGGAGTATGTTAACCCGATATACAAAATGAGACGTAGAAAAATAATAGCAATATTGTTCGGGGCACTAGACCCAAAAGAGTACGTAAGAAAGCTCGAGATAATGACCTAAGAAATAATAAATAAATAATAAATAATGGGGCTCAAATAATGAGCTAAGAATAATGTGGACACGCTAGGAATCGAACCCAGGTTGATGAGTTAAAAGTATGGGCAAGACTCCACCAAGCTTAAAGTGATGTAATGTATGAAGTGATGATCTCCAAAGGGGGACATGAGACCCCATTTGTAGTGTTTAGACCTCCTTCCATTGTTGTTAAGTGTATGGTCTTGGTTGCTCTCTCTTCTTGACATGTCTAGACCCTTTTATAGTGTCCAGACCCCTTGTAAAATAAGGTGCTTCAGATTGTTTGTCATGGGAAAATCGTTTGAGAATCGCAATTGAAGCTACGGGTGCACTTACTTTTCTTCACTTGACTGCATCCATGCCTACAATTCACAAGGACGTCAAGTTAACCAGCATATTGATCGATGAAAACTACACTGCAAAAGATCTGTGATTTCGGGGCTTCTAAGTTAGTCCCTTTGGATGGTACGCATGTGGAAACACTAGTCTAAGGAACACTTGGTTATTTGGATTCAGAATACTTCCAAACAAGTCGGTTGACAAAAAGGAGTGATGTATACAATTTTGGAGTAGTCTTAGCTGAATTTCTGACAGGAAGGAAACCTGTGTCTCCAAATATGAGTGACGAAGAGTATCGATACTTATCCACATTTTTTGTTTGATCCGTGAATGAGAATAGACTATTTCAAATTCATGTGCCTAGGCTAGTAAAGGAGGGGCCGTTGGACCAACTTCAAAGAATTGCAAAGCTTGTGAAAAGATACCTTCAACTTAAAGGAGAAGATAGGCATAAAAATGGAAGAAGTAGCTATTGAACTTGAAAGTATAAGAATATTGGCTAAGCATTCTTAGGAGGAGCCTTCTTGTTTTGTACCTGCATAGGATGAACCATTATATGTTTATGTAGTTCCAATTAGCCCGTAGTGCTTATTACATGGGGATCATGTATAATGCCACACATGAATGGATGCAAGAATATGAACATATATAATGTGATCATAACACAATATTTATGCAACAAAATTAGGCTTATCATATGGTGTCATCTCTAGAGAGGTTTCCATGGTTAAAATGCAGTATGTGAATGAGGAGTTACAAAGTTTCATCTCCTATGGGTCGAACTAGTGAGCCAGCCCAATGTTTGATTTTCTTTTAAATATTTAAATCATTATATACAACAAGGAAAATGAAAAAAAAAAAAAAAAAACATGTGGATCTTGAATGCAAGAAATAACCTAAGGTTCCTACTAGATTTTACTTCAATTATTAAACTGGACTAGCTCCCTGACTACTCCAGACAGAATAAAGAGAATACACATAAAAACAATAAAAGGAACCGTGC